CACTTTTTCTGCTTTTTAAAATCTTTCTTTTCGCTATTACCACAAACAAGCTACGTAGCAGCTTGAATATGAGTTTATTAGCTCTACGTTATCAGTTTGCTGTCGTGACTCTCGCGAACAGCACTGAACGCGCACTTTTCGGTACAAAAAAATTTATTATTATTTTATCAGCTTATGTAGTCTCCACAACCAATGAATTGCTGATCTCTAGTGATGTATAGTTTTTGTAATAGATAATTTGTTGGTAAAGGGTGAGAGATCTGGCGACATGATTTTTGTCAAAGAGCCAGGTGTGGCTCGCGAGCCATATAGGTTCCCGACCCTAAAGGAACACTGAATGAGAGAAGCTCTCATTGCACTAATCTTCACTCCGTGACTTTTTCCTATTTCCACTTTCTTCCTCTCTGCCATAACATTTTCAAAATAGTCACAACATGCTTCATAAAATATTTAGCTATAGGTGATACTTCAATGAAAGGCACTTTTATGTCACCTTATTTTTAATCGACACTGAAAGATTTGAACTTTTTTTTCTCTGCTTTTTGTTTTACGAAGGTCACATTAAAATGGTCTTGGAAACTTTCCTTCATCCTTTGAAAAGTAGTTTAAAATAAATAGCTTTTTTTGTAAAAAAAAAAAAAAGTTTTATATTTGTTTAATGATTATATAATTAATAGTATATTAATATAAAGCATTAACGTAATCTTTTAATACTAAAACATAAAAATCCATAAAAGTATTACTTACTATTTTCTTTAAACAATAACATTAAGTTAAATAAACTCAAACTTTATTAATAATTAACTAATTTAAATAAACTATATATCTAAATTATTTAATAAAATTAGTAATAATAATGACAGAACTTTAATAAAACTTTAATAATAAATATTTTAATAAATATTGTGATTTTGAATCTGTAAAAATAAAATTTTTACACAAAAAGGATAGTAATTACTGCTGTCAACTATCTTGGTTACCAGATAGTTAAGCAGATTAGATAGTACCATATACCAAGGAGTGTTAGTTAAGCATATTAGATATAAAATGACATGATAAAGAAAAATTAAGATATAGAATATTTTATTGCTTGTCATATCCAGTTATGCTGTGATTTTGTAAAATTGTGCAAACAAAACGTAAAAAATATATCATAGAATGTAGGATACATAAAATACTAGCTATTAAAACTATCCTTAGCAAGACAAATTAATTGGCTATTTTATTAAAATACAAAAATATGATTTTCACCACAGAAGATAAATAAAATACATAACTTGAAATTTGTAGGTTCAGAAAAATTATAATTTTCCTATGATACATGTACATCCACTGCAGAACATTGTTAGAGGACAAACTGTGTGTGTGTGTTAATAGTATATTTTAAGAAACACCCATGTGTGTGTATTAGTATGTTAAAGAAACTTCTTTGACATCTGGTAAAGCTGAAAGACAAATGATCACTCATCACAGGTAGGTGCCAGACACACACGTGTACGATCAATCATCAAAATAAATATTTCTGAAATGGCAATTATAGCTTCTACTGAAAAGGTCAAGCTGAAAGAAATATCATGCTGCAAAGAAACGCTTATAGAAGAACTGCAGCGAAAATATCCACTTGAAACGTGTATATCAGGGTAGACATAGTTTAGACAGGCTTTCAGTTGAGCATCAAATCAATGTCTTCATTCATTCATGAGTAATTAACAACAAGTGTAGCACAACCCTGTTCATTAGAGGAGCTCAGGGGGTTGATTCCACATATAGAACAGCGGCTACGTGTGTGTGTGTGTGTGTGTGTGTGCGTGTGTGAGTCTGTGTGTCCAAACTCATCCATTGCATTAGTAAAGTGGCGGAAAATCCCAGCAACTCAGCAACTGCGCGTTAGTGACAGAACTCTAGAGCGTATCATTTCCTTTCCACGATGCCGACCTTCATGGAAACACACGATGGACACAACTAGCCAACAATAACCACAATTACAGCTAATAAAACACGACAGATCGCAGCTGAACGCCTGGCTGAAGACTCGGTTATGTGAAGATGTACAGTACAAGTACAAAGCCTCTGAGGCAAGTAAGATGATATAGTGGACAAAAAGGCTACTTTGCTGTCTCTGCAGTTTTGAATCTTCTGCATGCTGTTTTCACACTCTGTGCTGATTTCGAAGATAAGACAGATGTCAAATATCTCAATGTAACACAGGTAGTGATATCTTTTCTTCTATATTGTGATGCATGTCTGAATAAAATGAATTATAGAAAAGAAAAGAAAAATGCAGAAAGGTAAAAATTCTAAAGTAAAAAAAAAAAATGTAAAATTGAAGCATATTAATGGATGAATCATTCATCAATAACCTGCATTTAAAAAATTGATATGGCTCGTTTCCATTTCAGACCTTTTTTAAAACAAAACCTACATATTGTTTAACATTTGTGATCTATAAATCTATAATAAAGTGACAAAAGTGTTTGTCACGTATCAACTTTTTTTTATCTGAACTACCTGAAACCCCCTGTTGAGACATATTCAAAGGGTTCATGGGTTCAGGCCTTATTTAGGTGGGTCAAAACCCCCTAATATGCAGCCTCAACAGCTTCACAATCAGCATGCAACAATTCATTTGACTTCTGTAACTTGAGATTTAGGCAGAACTTGATTTTATCCATTAAAAACAGACTGAATCATGAAACGTAAGCGTTACAGACCAGAATGGATCCAAGTGTTAAAATATTACAAAGTCAAGCATTTTTCCCTTTGGAATAACATGCACATGCACGCATCAATTTTAATATCATGTTAACAAAAAAAATTGTAATATGCCTAAAAAGAAAGTTGTACAAAAGTAATTACCTATTTTCCCTAAATAATTATATTTTTTACATAAATGTTTAAAGAACATGATGATTTTATGAATGATAGGAGTGTAAATTCTATGGAAATTTCTAAATTCTCTTCGGAATTCAACAGGTGCAGATTCTGTGCGAGACTATATATGACAGCCTGACCAAAAGTCTATTAACTAAACTTATTCCCTCCTTTACATCGTTCTCTCTTTATCTCTCTGTCTACCTATCGGTCTATGTCTACCTCTCCGCATTGCATCCAAAGTTCTCTTACACATACTAATACACTCATTACACACTCACACACACAGCTTTCTGCAGCTCCTGAATACTGTATGCTCTCTCACTGACTTTCATGTTTCAGCATTGTGTGCATCATTTATACCAGACCAATTAACATCCCCCCTTAAACCTTGTGCCACTTCAGCAAAGGCTGAATCTCATTTGATATTCTCTTTAATTTCTGCTGCTGGTACGGAGGATAACGCCCAACTATCAATGGCCACACACTACATCCTCTCTTCCCACAGTGTACTTCATAAACAACTTTGAAAGAGCTGCTGTAATCCTGGCTTAAATATTCTAAATTTAGGTGGGTCAAAACCCCCTAATATGCAGCCTCAACAGCTTCACAATCAGCATGAAACAATTCATTTGACTTCTGTAACTTGAGATTTAGGCAGAACTTGATTTTATCCATTAAAAACAGACTGAATCATGAAACGTAAGCGTTACAGACCAGAATGGATCCAAGTGTTAAAATATTACAAAGTCAAGCATTTTTTCCCTTTGGAATAACATGCACATGCATGCATCAATTTTAATATCATGTTAACAAAAAAAAATTGTAATATGCCTAAAAAGAAAGTTGTACAAAAGTAATTACCTATTTTCCCTAAATAATTATATTTTTTACATAAATGTTTAAAGAACATGATGATTCTATGAATGATAGGAGTGTAAATTCTATGGAAATTTCAAAATTCTCTTCGGAATTCAACAGGTGCAGATTCTGTGCGAGACTATATATGACAGCCTGACCAAAAGTCTATTAACTAAACTTATTCCCTCCTTTACATCGTTCTCTCTTTATCTCTCTGTCTACCTATCGGTCTATGTCTACCTCTCCGCATTGCATCCAAAGTTCTCTTACACATACTAATACACTCATTACACACTCACACACACAGCTTTCTGCAGCTCCTGAATACTGTATGCTCTCTCACTGACTTTCATGTTTCAGCATTGTGTGCATCATTTATACCAGACCAATTAACATCCCCCCTTAAACCTTGTGCCACTTCAGCAAAGGCTGAATCTCATTTGATATTCTCTTTAATTTCTGCTGCTGGTACGGAGGATAACGCCCAACTATCAATGGCCACACACTACATCCTCTCTTCCCACAGTGTACTTCATAAACAACTTTGAAAGAGCTGCTGTAATCCTGGCTTAAATATTCTAAAAAAAAGTAGTATTTTCTACTCCTGTTCATAGTAACTTCTTAATCCCTGGGTTTGGGTCAATACTTTAAACCAGATCATCTTGAATCTCCTTAATATCTATGTTTATTTTAAAGGGAAAAAAACCTTCAAACTTTCATGCTGTAAAAAGACTGACACTATGTTTGATGACACTGATTTTAAGGAAGAAAAAAAGTAAAAATATCAGATCCAGCCAAGCAACTGACATTATTGCTAACATAAGTCTCTAAATATGATTTTGCTTCTGAAAACCATTTATAAGGTACTACGTTTTGTATTAGACTTTAATCACCAGAAAAACTGACACAAAAACATGAATCCTATCTCCTTTGAGCCAGACTACAACTATTTGTTCGCAGCCGATTTTCACATCTCCTGTGCAGATTTTAAGTTTAATGATATTTTGAATACTTGCTTTTGTCATTAAAACCTAAGATTTTTGCATTTGACAGCTTTTGTTATTTTGACAAGTGCATTAAAGCTGATACATATATATAATTTGAAAAATATAAATTTTTTTGTGAAAAAATTATCCACCATCAATTAAATTATATTAGGTCTTTTTTGCAAATTAGCATATATTTTTTTCCCCAAGATGCGGAGCTGTGTTATAGACCTTTTATGGTTTCCATATATTAAAAAGTGACAAAAAGCCATGTTTGCCTACCTGGTCCCAGTCTATGCTTCTGAAGAACGTATGAGACTTGATGTCTGTGAATCCGGTCTGAACTTGGCATCCCAGCCTCTCTTTTGGGTCCTAAACGGAACACACACTCTATTAATAACACACCTAACAAAAGCCAGATCTGGTGTAGAGAACTTCAAAAACATGGAACCTATTCAATTCATGTGCTCTTTATTTCAGGAGAATGGAGTTTAACACATTCACTCTAGCATATGTTGCAGACAATATCTTGTGCCCTGAAACATTAGATGAGGATTCAGGGGTCTGGAAGTTAGTCGCTGAGCTGATCTACGCTCATTTAATCCCAATGAATCAGGCAGTGGCTAAGAGGGCTGATAACACTGATTACAGGCTGCTGTTGAGTTTGAGGAACCCCAGAGCTTCAATAAATGCAATTTGTCTCGATGATTAAAGGAAAACGCTTCATTATTCACAGATTTAATCAAGCCGACATGCACACGGGGACACACGAAAAGAAGCGTGCACAGACTCAAGAGATCGGTTTCATCTGGAGGATGATGACCCTCCTTATTATAGCACATATATTTGTTCAATCAGAGGCAAACTGTGTGCACATTTATGGAGAGTTAAGACCCTCATTTATAAACCTTAGTGTGCAATGTTCATAAAATATGACGTTTTTTCCTCCCTCAGAGCATATTTGTTTCTCATCCATCTTGTTTGTGTAATGGAGCGCAACGGTGATCAAGGTTTCAGAGGACAAAGAATAAACTACGCATTACGTAAAAAATTATGTATGATGTAATTGAAACAGTCTGGGTTTGCTTATCACAAAATACAACTACTGTTATAAAACAAAATACAACTCTTTTACAGTTGTTATTATAAAGGACTGTTATTGTATAATAATATATTTTAATGTATATTTTATAAATATGAATTTTAAAATATAATATATAAGGAGTGTAACGGTACGGTTCAGTGCGCATGTGTACCGAACAAACACAGCATTGTTTTAACCAACGCACGAGTGGAACTTCATTGGAAACTTCCAGTTTTATGTTACTTTTGATAAGAAACAAAGTATCGTCTTACAAATTATGTAAATTTTTCCCAGGAAAGTCAAACAATAAATGCTGTTTTGCCGCTCTTTGATAGCGTGACAGAACGCTGTATAAACGCCTCAGTTCAAACTGCAGCACGGAGCGCAAGCGCGACCTCTTTACTACTAATATTAATGCAAAATAAACGTGAATGAACATCTCATGCCTCAATCCCTCAGTGTTTCAACCATGGAAAGACGTCAAAACAAAATGTCACGTAGCATTTTATTTACCTTAGGCAAGTCATCAGTGTCTGCAGCTAGTTAGTTCGCTAGAGAAGTCTAGAGAAGATAATTTTGTGAAATATTAGACTATATACTTATTATATTTTACTTTACCTGTTAGTGATGTCTTAATTAATGCATGCTCAAATAAATCTGTTAAGAAACAAGTTACGACAGCCACTGTGTAACTGAATATATTTCAACAACAAATTGAAATTGTATAATTTAGAAGTTTAAAAACTGCATTATGTGCAACTTACATGTTTGCATACTTTTTTTAAGTTGAGGGTTGATTATTATATTTAAAAAATAAATAGTAATTGAATTTAAGTTTTGGCTCTGTTGTTAATTGTAAGCTTATAGAAATGTAAAAGGGTCCCCAATAGTTTAGAGCAGGATTCCTCAATAGGCGGCCCGTGAGAGAAAAACGTTTGGCCCGTGCTAATTTCAAATAATGTGGCATGAAAATTCAAACGCAGCATCAGAAAGCAACATTAACTTACATTAACTTTTTCTTAGCCTATCCAGTTGAAGCCACTAGATGCGGCGCTGCTGCGTTGTTCATTACAAATATTGCGGGAAAAGAGAACATCAATGCGGAGAAGATCTTGTTTACGTCAAACTGAAACCAAGTCGTTCACACAGAACACATATTTCACGCATTTTCTAGAGGGACATCAATCACCGTTGCACTCGCGTCTCGCACAAGAGAGCAGCATGTTTAGAAAGCCATGTAAAATTAATCCAAGTTCAACTTTGAAAAAAACATATCTTGAGACTTTATGGCAGGTTTTTTCCCCATCTGACTGCAACTCGTGTTTTTAAATGAAAAATGTACTCTGTGTGATTGGGTTTCGGCCCTTTGTATTAAACTATGCATACATACATGATGCTGTTTTGTTTATAGTTGTTTAAGCAACTTAATTAATTAGAATTGGTTTATAAACATTATTTTAAACATTATGCTCTTTTTTTCACGGATAGTCATGTTATCTTATGCTCGATGCGCCCTCTTGTGGCCTCAGGAGAGAAGCCAAAAGCTTTTCTTTACCCTAACTGAAATTATGCATTTTAAATTTGAATATAATTCGAATTTTGATAATTAAGCACAAAATTCGAATTTAGCTTTTCAGCCATTTTAACAGCCCTAACATATATATATATAAATATATAAATAGGTCAGCGGCCCTTGGCTTGGTATTGTTGGCAAAATTCGGCCCTCGGCGAAAACTAATTGAGAAACCCTAGTTTAGAGCATAAGCTGAGGTAGATTTTTATTTAAAATTTTAATTATAAATTAATTGAATTTATTTAAAGAAAGAGGAATTTGTTCAGTTAACCACTGTTTAATAAAAAAAAAACTATTTTATATTTAGTTTTTCCCCCTGCTGTAACAAAACCATACCGAACCGTGACGTCAAAACTGAGGTACATACCGAACCGTTATCTCCGTCTACTGTTACACCCCTAGCATATACTGTAAATATTTAGCTAAAAATATAAATCAGAATAGGCAAAATAAAGCAACACTGAAACAACAAATGACAAGTCCTATCGCTATAGCTGACATTAGCTAATTTTACCTGCCTCTAGCCTGCAAAAATGAACTGCTGTATAGATTACCATGAATCATGTTTCTATGGTAACGGTGACTTTTTTGATTGGTGCATTTCATTTCAGGGTTGTGGGTAGTAGAAATTCATTGAATTCAGCACGTAAACTTTTTTTTTTCTTTTCTTCAAACAAAGTTGAAATTCCCAATCTTACAGTATGGTTTTAATAGAAACATGACCTTGAAGAGGGTAGGACTGTTTTGAAATGTTTTTCCAGAACCCTTTTATTAAAGCACCTTACAGTACATTCAACCTATTGGGAAACCCTTAACCTTGGTGTGCTACATGAACTACTACTTGATAAACAGCAACACTAGTCTATACAACAGCTTTTTACTTCTTAACTCTTTATAGTCTCGTTTTTGTCCACTTTTTCTTGTCAGTTGTATCGTACTCTGCAGCATTCATTCACGTACAAAGTACACCCTGTTCTCACCTTGTTCAGAAAGCCTTTCAGCACACTCGCAGCCTTAACAGACAATGACCTGGGAATCCGTATCGGCTTCTCCAAAATGACTGAAAGAGAAAGGGGAAAAAAGGAAGACAGAAGATTAAAGCGTATGAGTCATTCTTGCAGAGTATGGCCGTCGTGTTGTGCGGCGGTGTTAGAGAGAGACAGGCTTTAACCCACACGCACAAAATCTCTCGTTCGTACGCCCACGCACTACAGACGCCTGAATAAACCCTTCAATATTCAATCAAAGACTCAAAAGATTCCTCCCCGCTCTGTGTTTATTTCTGTAAAGTCGCGGTGTTAAGTGGATTTAAAACACACCACAAAAAGTAAAAAAAACGTGTCTTTTTAATGCGTCTCATCCCTGCATTTTCGGATTTCTTTTACAGTTGCGCATCTCGGGCGACCGTCCAGAAGCAAAGCCTGTTAAATTTCATCTCTCTCAAAGACGGAGTGCAGACGAGCGTTTATCTTTCCCCTCTCCGAATGCCACATCCCCTGTTTGTTTTCTTTTCCAAATGAAAAGCTAAAGGGATTTAGGTCTTGCTGGGGCTCTGCCCTGCTGCTGTGACGCGGTTTGGACGGCGGCCCGAAAGCGGCTAAAGTGTTGGCTCGGCGGTGGCAGCATCTGCCCTGCTCCTGGGTGGGCGGCGGAGCGCCGGCAGGGGGAGGCCGTGTAGGGCCGGGGGGAGGTTGGACTAGGACGGCGCTGCAGCATATGGACGAACTGAGGTTTGGATGGGGGGAACGGAGTTCCGGTTGTGGAGAGAGATCCAGGTTCATGTCGTGTGTGTCTGTATGGATGAGAGTGATCCAGGAGCATGCTGCCCTCTCGGCTGGAGCACCAGAGAACAGACAGGGAAGCAGATGACCACACAGTCTCTGCTCTGGGGATGGACTGGAGGTGAGGAAAGGGGGGATGAAAGAATGTCTCACAAAGGAATGATGGTTTTATTTAGCAAAGATGCATTAAATTGATCAAAAGTGACAGTAAGACAATTTATTATGTTAAAAAAAAATTGTAACAACTACAATTACTTTCTTCTTTTTGTTTTAGCAAGCGATCCTTAAAAATTATCATTATTTTCACAAAAATATTAAGCGGCACAATTGTTTTTAACATGAATTACAAGAAGAAATTATACTTGAGCATCAAATCAGCATATTAGAATGATTTCTGAAGGATCATGTGACTGAAGACTTGAGTAATGGCCGTTAAAAAATTCAGCTTTGTCATCACAGGAATAAATTGCATTGTAAAATATATCAATATATTATTATTTATTATATTATTTATAAACTATATTTTTAAAAAACAGCTATTTTAAATGGCAATGATATTTCACAATAGTACTATTTACTGCACTTTTGATCAAATAAATGCAACATGCAGAGACTTCTTACCAAAAACAAAACAAAACAAAAATCAACCCCAAACTTGGATTGTAGTGCACTTAACATGTATTGGTATGAGAAATGTGTGTGCAAAGTTACTGAACCATCACCAGTGTAGATCATACAGTTACATTTCATACAACATGTCAAGAGTGTTACCTCCACAATAAACCATATAAACCTCTAATAAGAGCACATATCGAAGTAATAATATCACTGCTTTAATACCTTGAATAGTCAAATAATGGCATGAATAATTTTCATATAAAGGAAACGTTTAATTCATTTTAAGTAATTATGATGCAGGCAGGGCCGCATTAAGACCTTACTGGGCCCCGGGGCTATGACTGACTCCAGGGCCCCCAATTACAAATATGATATATATATATATATATATAAAAATCCTATTTAAAAGCTATATATATATATATAGCTTTTAAATAGGATTTTTATCCTATCAGAATTTTAATGCATTGAAATTTCATAATTCTTGTTACCAATTTCAATGTAAAAATTAATAAATAAATAAATAAAATACTAGCCTAAGTAAAAACAAGCTTATACTTAAGACAAGTAAACAGCCACAAATTACAAAAAAATAGACCTACTTGAAACACTTAAAGCACTGAATAAGAAATTATATTGTATAAAATAAATGTACAAATAAACTGAATAGTCTTCACTGTATAAATTCAATATACTGTCATTCTTATTTATTTTACAAAAGTGATTCGTTCAAGGACAGTGAGTGATTTTCTTTCTAATGTTTGATTAACATTATTGACATAAATTTTTAACAGCAGCTAAATTAGGCTACTTTAGAGGAATAGCTCACCCAAAAATTAAAGGTCTGATGTTGTTCTAAATCTGTATGAGTTTCCTTCTGCTGTTGAATGTAAAAGTATATATTTGGAACAATACTGGTAACCCAACAGTTGCTGGGCCCCCATTACTTCCATAGTATGAAAAACAAAATACACTATTGGAGTCAATGGGGACCAGAAACTTTGTAGTTACGAACATTCTTCAAAATATCTTCTTTTATATTAAGGATAAAGAAATTCATACAGGTTTAGAACAACTTGAGGCTGAGTAAATGATGACAGTATTTTCATTTTTGGGTGAACTATCCCTTTAAAATCTCATCATATTAGGATCTCATATAGCTTACTACACATACTTTATATTTAACTATTAACGTTCCTTTAAGACACAAATGACTAAATGACTGCGGAGACATTCTGACACATAACTGTGCATTTGAACGTTTAAGCACAAGGCGCGAAAAATAACTAGTTTAGAAGTTTAGACTACGAGCAGGTGCGCGCCACGCGAATCAGGCCGTAACCGTCTTTCTCCAAGTAGGTATAAATGCAGTCCGGAGATCTCCAAACTGGGGCGTGAACTCCAAAAGTGGGCAGAACCTCCAAAATGGGGCAGGGTCTCTTCGCCCAAAGACTTTCACCATTGGCTCTGGCTTCGGCCAATTGTTATTGACTTACATTTCAAAATCAAACTTTATAACTTAAACATTGTTACTAGTTGATCTAAAATAAAATATGCTATATAAATAAATATTCTCCGTGAGAGTAGAGCCCAAAGCTCGTGGCCAGTGGTGTTCGAACTGGAGTTTGAACCTCTGCTTAATAATATAAACGGGAATCACCCACGAGCCGTCAGTGCAGGGGAAAGATTTTCTCTATCGCTTTGTTCCAAGCAACGGGGGCATCCCCGGGCACGAAATTCCCAGGGTAGGAGGGGGTAGTGACGCTGGGTGTAACTAAAAAGGTGCTATTGTCCGGTGAACACAAATGACTGCGTTGACAAGGAGACATTCTGACACATAACTGTGCATTTGAACGTTTAAGCACAAGGCGCGAAAAATAACTAGTTTAGACTGGCGCTGTACGAGCAGGTGCGCGCCACGCGAATCAGGCCGTAACCGTCTTTCTCCAAGTAGGTATAAATGCAGTCCGGAGATCTCCAAACTGGGGCGTGAACTCCAAAAGTGGGCAGAACCTCCAAAATGGGGCAGGGTCTCTTCGCCCAAAGACTTTCACCATTGGCTCTGGCTTCGGCCAATTGTTATTGACTTACATTTCAAAATAAAACTTTATAAATTAAACATTGTTTCTAGTTGATCTAAAATAAAATATGCTATATAAATAAATATTCTCCGTGAGAGTAGAGCCCAAAGCTCGTGGCCAGTGGTGTTCGAACTGGAGTTTGAACCTCTGCTTAATAATATAAACGGGAATCACCCACGAGCCGTCAGTGCAGGGGAAAGATTTTCTCTATCGCTTTGTTCCAAGCAACGGGGGCATCCCCGGGCACGAAATTCCCAGGGTAGGAGGGGGTAGTGACGCTGGGTGTAACTAAAAAGGTGCTATTGTCCGGTGAGGTCCGGTTGGGGAGTTACGGAACGATCTCATATCGCATAATCTTATTAACTGTTTATTTCCTGAACTGCAACTTTCTTTACCACGCTATTCAGCGCCAATCCCGCCGTGCAGTCAATCTCACTGGTTAAGGTTAGGGTCAGGTGTGGGGTAGGTTTAGGGGTTAGCATTTTTTGTAGCATAGTGTAGGAAATCAACACTTTAATTGACACAACCAATAAAAACTTTAGAATCAGCTGTGTGGCGGAGTTTGCACTGAAGTGGATTGGGGAAAAAATTGCGTATGCGTGTCATGTGCCTGTCTGTCAATGGGAGGGAACCACGCCCTATTTTGGAGCTCCCACCCCGTTTTGAAGTTCCCGCCCCCATTTGGAGATCTCCGGGCTGCAGTTATACCCTTCTCTCTTAATGCGCGCATTACTCATGTTTTCCCCTCTGTCTTCATTTTTTTTTTAGAATAGCCCCTCACTCACTTTCTTTTTAGAAGAGTTTACATTTTTACTTATCGAAGATTGTTCTTTGCATGACCATTTTCAGATTATGCCAGAACAAAGTGAAGAGAGGTGAATGCGGACATTGCAGCGATCACCTGATTGATACGTGGTCCAGGGGTCGTTCAAAAGTAAAAATATAGAATAAATGCATTTGATTAGTAAACCAAATTCAAACGTGATGTTTTAATCTCTAAAGATAATGCATGGAATATATGGAAAAGCTCCACTAAATAATAGCACTAATAAGTGAGGGGAGGGGCTTTGGCAATCGGCTCTACTGATGACCAGTCAATCTACTCCACAGCCAATCACGAGCCCCCTCTTTGTCCGGGCCCCCGGGGCTTCAGCCCTGCCTAGCCCAATGGTTAATGCGGCCCTGGATATTGCCTATTATTTTCAATGTTAAAACAGTTGTGCTGGATAATGTACAATAATTTATTAGAAATAGAAATATTTTATAAAATTATAAATGTCTTTACGGTCACTTTTGATTAATTTAATGTGTCCATGCAGAAAACCAAACAAACAAACAACCAACTTCTGAACAGGAGTTTATCTACATTTTGGCACCATGTGTCAACCAATCAAAATCAAGCATTTAACTATTGATGTACTGTATAATAATCGGTCCTGACCATTAGCGATGTGACAAGTGTCCAGTTACAAGCAATTAGATGAAATTAGCATTGTACACTAACGAAAACAGTGAACCGGCGTGATATAAACAGACCCAATCAGAACTTTTTAAGTTTAGTGTTCAGTTAAGAGGAGTGGAATTGTGGACCAATGAGATTTCACAGTGGGCGGGGCTACTCCGCACAATGATGCAATCAAGGAAACCAAGCAACTGTCAATATGCAGAAAAGTCAATATATATGTGAAAACAACACAGCACATTAGATAAATATGTATATAAACAATTTTTCCAGATTTCCCCAAGCGGGAGCTGTGCTTCCAACTGTCAGCATTTGCCTGTCTAAAGTTAGAAAAAACAAAGATAAAAAGAAAGGTGTTCAAAGTAGGAAAAATTAACAGTGACATTTCCGATCAGGTTTCGCAACTGGCATTCTGCAGTGTTCGCTTCATGTCGGCACGCAGCAAGGGCTCATAAGACCTTTAGGAGCAACTCATGAATATTTTGGCTCATTAGCCGTAATTAGCATGTGTATTTGCATATGTGTGGTGTGCAGGACGCATATTGATGGAACTGGTCGGGGTGCGCTTGACTCACCTAATTAGCCCGTGTTTGATCTCAGTTTATCAGACGTGTGAAAGGGGGCATTACAGAAGCGCTCTGATCAGTCGCTGTAACAGGATTCAGTGAGGAGGAGTCATCATCTATCAGACCGTCCTGCCTCATAGACAGAGTAATATAGCCTAGCAGAAGTGTATGAGATCTGCATTCAAATAAAGGTGCGGGTTTGGTTCAAACATTATGATGGACGATTTTAAGTTAATAAAACTACCCAGATGAGTCACGTTTTTTTGAAGACTGGCATCTGCGAAGGTGCCAGGGCAAATGCCATGAGCCTGGCACCATAAACGTGGCTTAATACTTGTGCTCACTAGAAGCAAGTAGCAACAGTAATTTATGATTTATATAAAAATAAATAAATAACAAATTTTTACAAAAACGTGAAACAGAATCGTACGAAACAAACTATTTATTTATTTTAATAGATGTAGTTTTTTATTCAGCAAGGGCACATTAAATTGATTAAATGTGGCAGTGAAATTTTTATAATGTTACAAAAGATTTCTATTTTAAAAAATGCTGTTCTTTTGAACGTTCTATTCATCAAAGAATCCTAAACAAAAGTATTCAGCAGCACACCTGTTTTCAACACTGATAATAATAAGAAATGTTTCTTGAACAGCAAATCAGCTTATTACAATGATTTCTGAAGATCGTGACACTAAAGACTGTAGTAATGATAATGATGTAATGATGCTGAAAATTCAGCTTTGCATCACTGGAATAAATTATATTTTAAACATATTAAAATAGAAAACAGTTAGTGCTGTCAAATCGATTAATCACGATTAATATTATTCAAAGCGACTTACAAATGAGGATAATGGAAGCAATCAAAATCAACAAAAGAGCAATGATATGCAAGTGCTATAACAAGTCTCAGTTAGCTTAACGTAGTACAAACACAGGTTTTTTAAATTATATAATAAATAAAAAGAAAACAGATAGAATAGAAAAAGAATAGAGCAAGCTAGTGTTAGAGGACTTTTTTGCTTTTGTTAATTGTATAATAAATAAAAAGAAAAGAAATAGATAGAATACAAAAAGAATAGAAAAGCTAGTGTTAGTTTTTTTTATGAAAACAAGCAGTTAGTAAATTAATAGAGTGCAAATCTAAAAGGGGCATTTTTTTTTAAAAGAATAGAATTAGAATAGAAAGTGCTAGAGTTAGAGGGTTAAATAAAGATCTAAGAGATGTGTTTTTAGCCGATTCTTAAAGATGGCTAAGGATTCAGCTGCTCGGATTGAGTTGGGCAGCTCATTCCACCAGATATATATATAAATAAACACACATACATGTATACATTTAAGAAATATATGTAATATATATTTATATATTATATAAATCATACGTGAAAATGAATATATGTATACATATAAATATTTCATAAATATATACATGTATTCATATGTAAAAAATAAATTATGTAAACACAAACTTTTATTTTGGATGTGATTAATCGCGATTACAAAGATGAAAAGATATAAAAAAAAGAAAAGAAAAAAGGTGTTCCAAGTAGGAAAAATTAAAGGTGACATTTCCGAACATGTTTCACAGGATGCCAGATTGGCATGCCGTGGTAACTAGGAATTACACAAGCTTCAGTCTGGATCCATAACTTACAAAGACCTGTGAAGAGATGATGCCAACCCATCAGAGGACCTCAGATGATGCCAACCCTCAAACAACATACAAAACTACCAAATTTTGCTATAAGTTTGATCGCAACATATAATCATTGTAGTGCAGTCAAGCGATTAATCGCGATTAATCGCATACAAAATAAACGTTTTTGTTTGCATAATATATGTGTGTGTTCTGTGTATATTTATTATATAAATACACACATACAGTACATATTTTGAAAATATTTACATGCATTTACATGTTTATGTTTATATTCATACAATTAATATTACAAATAAATATATTTAATATATAAACATAACATTTTTCTGAAATATATACATGCATGTGTGTGCATTTATATCTACATAATAAATATAAACAGCATACATATATATTATGTAAATAAAAACTTTTATTTTGGATGTGATTAATCGCGATTAATCGTTTGACAGTACTAAATCATTGCTGTTAATAGTGTTCACCGTCTGTTTGATTACATGTCATTAACTAACTGCATGATTTTTACTGTACATTTCTGCCATATAGACATCAATTTGAGATTTGATCAATTTGAGAACCACTGATAAGCTACTACTAAATATAATGTAGAAACTTTAAATTTCTGTAAAGCTGCTTTGCAACGGTTTGCATTGTGAAAAGCGCTATACAAATAAACTTGAATTGAATTGATCGATCTGACAGCACTAGAAATAATATTTCACAATGCTGTTGTTTTTATTGTATTTTGCCCTGAAAAAAAAAAGTTTTAAAAAGAGCAGTGTCCATTTATTTTGCCATCACAGCTATTTACTATTAGGTTATATGTGACCCTGGACCACAAAACCAGTCATAAGGGTCCATTTTTCGAAACTGAGATAAATAATGAATAAATAAGCTTTCCATTGATGTATGGTTTGTTAGGATAGGGCAATATTTGGCCGAGATACAACTATTTGAAAATCTGTAATCTGAGGAAGCAAAAAAATCTAAATATTGAAAAAAACGCCTTTAAAGTAGTCCAAATTAATTTCTTAGCAATGCATATTACTAATCAAAAATTACGTTTTGATATATTTACAGTAGAAAATTTACAAAATATCTTCATGGAACATGATCTTTACTTAATGTCCTAATGATTTTTGGCATAAAAGAAAAGTCAATAATTTTGACCCATACAATGTATTTTTGGCTATTGCTACAAATATACCCCAGCACCTTAAGACTGGTTTTGTGGTCCTGGGTCACATATGGTGAGTTGCATTTTATTATGTGCATTTATGATTGTTTTTCCCCTGCTGTCTCAACCCATTTTTGGTGGGCTAGAAACCCACTAGTTGAGAATTTAAGTAATTCTGTATTTCACTTTGTTCCTTTCTCCTTCATCCACACATTCCATCCGTTCAATCACCCATCAATCTATCCTATCTCACATAAAAAGATGCCTAATTTAAATGACCTACCATATTAAAACTATCAAATAAATAATTAAGTTTTTTTATTTGCACGCACCTGGAATGTTCCTCTGGAAGCTTCCGCTGCTTCTGCATATGGAACATGAGATCTCCTCCATTCACATACTCGATCACTAGAAACAGCCTAAACGAAGAACAGGAGACACTCAATAAACTTATGTTTTTTTTTTTCATTTTAGTTTTGTTTCATATGTGCTGTATGTGAGAGATATAATGGCTACTTTCACATTTAGTCATGAAAGAGACAACCTTGTTCCATAACTCGAAATCAGACTTTTATGGTTGCTTTTCTTGTGGCGAAGGTTTCTTATTTTGAGTGTACAACTGAAAAGTGGTTTGAAAAATGAAATACATTCTCCTCTTACCGACTCTCTGTCTGAAAGCAAGAGTGAAGTCCCACTAAGAATGGATTGGTTGATGCTTGTTCAAAGACGTGTTTCTCTGTCTGGACCCAGTCAATGTCCTACATCAAAAAAAAAAGAGAGAGATGTATGACTTATGAATAAAGAACTGCAAAGGATCATGACAGCAAGATGTTTCACTGCTTTCTAATAACTAGAGTAGAGGATATGATGTCTCACCGCCTCTATTGGGGGACTATTGTAGGTGTTTTCTGAGAAAAACCTGATCTATTGATCGTTTAACAGTGGAAAACACTTGGCACTATTGCATGCTGTCACTTTGGGGAGTCAAATCTCGGAATTAAAAATGTTTTAAATAAGAAAAGCACCTTTCTCTTCTTCTTTAAAAAGACATGTACAGTGCAGATAGGAACAGAGAAAAGAGAAACAGACATGTAAATAAATCACAAGATCAGTCAATAAAGGTATATAATGTACAGCATCTTTCAAATAAACACCTAACACTTTTTTTTTTTTAATCTGTCAGAAGTTTTAATTTCACAAAACAGTGCAGACAGGATGTTACAAAACATCTGTATTGAGATTGTCTCTGGGTGTGAAGACACGGCCCAGAGATGTGTTGATAAAGTCAAGTATTTTTGTTCTGTCAACACTTTAACATTAAGCAACACTTACAATCAGCTCAAAGAATTCAAGAGAACGTCTCTTACCCAAGAACTAAAGCTGAAAAATGACACTGAACATCTTTTTGGAGGCTAAGGGTGAAATGACAGATCTCAGCCCAAACAAACACGCTTGTTTTTCTATCATGTCTGGAACTTTCCATTGGCGAATATTGTTTTTAAATCGAGCTAATGATGTTTTCTATCGTCTGACCTTAGGCTTGACACTTACATAAACCTTTATGGGTTTTTAGATTTTAATTAGCGTGTTTATTAAGTTGTTTTCCTCATGGGACATTCAGCTCCACGATGCAGGCAAAACTTGACCCTCACACACACACACACACACACACACACACACACAGCCTGATTTCCAAAACCAGAGCAATTTAATTTCCTGGATGAGTAGAAAGCAGATTACAGGAAAGCAGTCTCAGCATAAAGAAATGAAGAGAAACAGATGATTCTTTAAATATTATTTTCTCTCTTCCTATGTTTCTCTATGTTTCTTTCCTTCCTAGTTGTCCTCCCCCTACCAGTGGAATACTCAATCGTTCTGCTATAAGCCGAACAATTTGTCTTGTCTAATAACAGTTAATTGCTGACCTCAAACGTCTAACATATGTGTCCAGTATTTGGAATGAAAGAAAATGTGTCATTTTACTATCAGTGAGATACTTCATTAGATTAGTTTTAACTTTTATATTATCCCGTTTCATTTTATTTTAGTTGGAGTTTTAGTCATTTTGTTTTTGTAATTTTTATTATTATTTTAAACATTTTTAGTACACCAGGTTAAACTAAATTTTTTAAAAAAGAGAAATGTTGTCTTTACAACAAGCTGAAATAAAATGTTTCTTTTTTTGTATTTTATTTTATTTTATTTAACGTTTATTTAATTTCAAGAAACTTTTAAATTTTAGTTAACTATAATAAACCTGACTGTTGTAGACAAATAGCATGGGCATTTATTAATTCATCATCAGGATTTGAAGCTAAATTGAATATGAATCTATAAAGGGAACGTGTATATTTTAGGTGCTGTGACTAGTCAGCATTTCTTTTAAGTTTTCCAGCATAATTTTTAACCACTTTAACAGTCTGCAGTTTATTCATGCTCAAATCGTTCTCTCTTGATGCATATGAGGCGCATAAATGCATATGATAATCAGGCAAGGTTTTTTTTTTTTAAAGTGTTGTCTTAAATTATTTTAGATGAACTATAAAATGGCTCATTTGGACTAATAGTTAAGGTGTATATCGCTGCACAGTCTCCACACAAATAAAAAAAATATATATAAGTGAAGATAAAAAGTGTCCTATTTAATTTTTTTTATATTAAATATTAAATATCTCAATACTTAAGTAGCATTTTATTTAAGTTGTAACCATTTTATGGAAGGGATAAACGATAAGGGCGTTTTGTACCTTGTTGTTTAAATACAGCATGTCAAACTGCAATTTGTTGCATAAAATGCCAAATTGAATGCATCATTAAATGTTTAGGTTCATTAAACCTTAATGAGTGGGAATGGTGAGTGCACAACAAACATACACAGAACACACATGTACAGTACAGTAAAACAGATGGAGAACACATTCCTTGAAGAAACTGCTTTCCAGGAAGCCATTATATTGTTTGTGCTTATTCAGAGGTCAACTGCATGTCTCTGTCATTCTGGAAGGACCTCTGCTCTTCATGAACTTCATTCATGTGTGTTAGCTGACAGCCATGTGGCTTTATGTTCCTGAGCGAGCCAAGTTTACAAAGACACAATAGCTTTGACTGTACAGAGTTTACTTTGTGATGAATAGCTGTGGAGTTTGCTTTGTCTTTCTATTTGATGCCTGTTCACACATATCAGGTTTCCTTACTGAGAGTGAGAAGGGAAGAAAGAGATATGGCCAATGCTACCGTGCATAGAAACTCGGTTTGTCTTTGAGTTGACAACCAAAAGATAACACAATAATGACTTTTAATGTTGTATTAGTGCTTTATCATAAATTCAAATCTCACTGCAATAAATACACTATCGTTCAAAGGTTTGGGGTCTCTCATGATGACCATGGCTGCATTTATTTGATCAAAAATATAGTAAGGATTTTTGCAGGATTCATTGATAAATATAAAGTTCAAAAGAACAACATTTATTTGAAATTGAAATCGCATAGAAACTCGGTTTGTCTTTGAGTTGACAACCAAAAGATAACACAATAATGACTTTTAATGTTGTATTAGTGCTTTATCATAAATTAAAATCTCACTGCAATAAATACACTATCGTTCAAAGGTTTGGGGTCTCTCATGATGACCATGGCTGCATTTATTTGATCAAAAATATAGTAAGAACAGTAATACTTTCTAATATCATTACAATTTAAAATAACTGTAAATTGCAAAGTTGAATTTTCAGCAGCCATTACTCCAGTCTTCAGCATCACATGATCCTTCAGAAATCCTTCTAATATAATGATTTGGTGCTCAAGAAAACATCAGAAAACAGCTGTGGTGCTTAATATTTTTATAGAAACTGTGATGCATTTTTGCAGGATTCATTGATAAATATAAAGTTCAAAAGAACAACATTTATTTGAAATTGAAATCGTCTGTTACATTATAAATATCTTTACTGTCACTTTTGATCAATTTAATGTGTCCTTGCTCAATAAACAGTATGTATTAATTTCTTTTGGAGAAGAAAAAAAAAAAAAAAAAGCTTTCTGACCCCAAACTTTTGCATTTGTATTAAATATCTGGTCCTTGGAAGGTCTTAAAATTTAGAAAATAAAACCTCAGAAGAATGACAACACATGACATATTGCACTGTGTCATTATTTATTGAACAAAAATAAAGCCAAAGTGAAAAATCCATGTGTGACAAAGTTAGGACACCCCTACTGTAAATCCATCAGTCTGGGAAGAGTACTACAGCCATTTCCCAAAAATTTGAAGTCCATCATTCTACAGTGAGGAAGTGGAAGACATTCAAAAGAGACACCAATCCACCCAGGAGTGGACATCCCAGCAAATGCACCCCAAGATCAGACAGTGTAACGCTCAGAAAAATGGCAGGCAGCCCAAGAACTTCACCGCAGACTCTACAGGCCTCATGTTAACATGTTAAATTATAAAGTTCATGACAGTACAATTAGAAAAATATGGGATAAAGTATGGCATGTTTGGAAGCCTCTTCTATCTAAAAAAAAAAAATGGCAGCACGGTTTAGGTTTGTAAAGCTGTATCTGAACAAACCATAAGACTTCTAGAACAATGTCCTTTGAACAGATGAGACCAAAGTGGAGATGTTTGGCCATAATGCACAGCACCATGTTTGGTGAAATCCTAAAGAGCATATCAGCACAAACACCTCATATCAAAAGTCACATATGCTGGTGGAGGGCTGATGATTTTGTAGCCACAGGACCTGGACGCCTCATTGAGTTGATCATGAGCTCCTCTGTATATCAAAGTATTCTAGTGTCAAATGTGAGGCCATCCATCTGACAGCTAAAGTTGGGCCGAAATTGGGTCATGGATAGTGATCCCAAGCACACCAGCAACTCTACAACAGAACGGCTGAAAAGAAAAAAATCTAGGTGTAGCAACAGTCCAGTCAAAGTCCAGACCTCATCCAGACTTGAAATGCTGTGGCGAGAGCAGTGCATAAACAATTGCCCACAAACCTCAATAAACTGGAGCAACGTTGTAAAAAAAAAAAAAAAAAAGAGTGGGCAAAAATTCCTCCAGAACAATGTACAAACATGCTGGTGGAGGGCTGATGATTTTGTAGCCACAGGACCTGGACGCCTCATTGAGTTGATCATGAGCTCCTCTGTATATCAAAGTATTCTAGAGTCAAATGTGAGGCCATCCATCTGACAGCTAAAGTTGGGCCGAAATTGGGTCATGGATAGTGATCCCAAGCACACCAGCAAATCTACAACAGAACGGCTGAAAAGAAAAAAATCAAGGTGTAGCAACAGTCCAGTCAAAGTCCAGACCTCACCCAGACTTGAAATGCTGTGGCGAGAGCAGTGCATAAACAATTGCCCACAAACCCTCAATAAACTGGAGCAACGTTGTAAAAAAAAAAAAAAAGAGGGGGCAAAAATTCCTCCAGAACAATGTGAGGGACAGATAAAGTCATACAGAAAACTAATACTTCAAGTTACTGCTAAAAGTGGATCTATAGGCAACCGAATCATAGGATGTACTAACTTTGTCCCTAGTGGATTTTCCATCTTGGCTTTATTTTTGTTCAATAAATAATGACAAAGTGTGATGTTGTTCATCTGAGGTTTTATTTTCCAAATTTTAATACCTGCCAAGGACCAGATATTTGTTATTATGTCCTGATACAGAAAACCATGGAATTCAATAGGGTGTCCTAACTTTTCACATGACTGTGTGTATATATTATTTAGTTCGTTCAGTTTTTCCAAGGGAAATTATTAAGCAAGAACCTAAAAAAATATATAAATAAATAAAATCTTTACTTTGACAGTTTGAATGTGGCCGTTAACCAGGCTGTTTTTAAAACAGACCGATGCATGAAAATTATATTGACAAAGTGAGTAATTTAACTCTTATGACGGTTTTAAAAGTTCTCCTAAAAAGCAATCTGTGTATTCTGCATCTACAACTCCATCTATCAATTGGCCATCGCTCCAAAATGATTAATTTACTTCTATTATTATCTGCAGATGTTTGTCTTTTTCTGATGGTTGATGTTTTTCTTTCGTTCAGTTTTTCCAAGGGAAATTATTAAGCAAGAACCTAAAAAAAAAATTTAAAAAAAAATCTTTACTTTGACAGTTTGAATGTGGCCGTTAACCAGGCTGTTTTTAAAACAGACCGATGCATGAAAATTATATTGACAAAGTGAGTAATTGAACTCTTATGACGGTTTTAAAAGTTCTCCTAAAAAGCAATCTGTGTATTCTGCATCTACAACTCCATCTATCAATTGGCCATCGCTCCAAAATGATTAATTTACTTCTATTATTATCTGCAGATGTTTGTCTTTTTCTGATGGTTGATGTTTTTCTTCAATGCCATGCTCAGGAAAACATTAATACAAATGATTTTGGGCTTCATTTGGCTCCTAAAATTGTTATGAGGACACAAGAGAAATGGAAAAATATATAATGCAAGGGCAAAGAGTTTGCTAAACAGTGACCAAAGTGTCTTCATCTTTAGTAAGAATGAGGAGTTAGCTATTTGAAAGGAGCACAATCCCACAGCACCATCTACAGGTGACTATTACACTCACACTTCCAAACTATAATCAACTTTCTGTATTTTCACAGATCTGTACATACACCATGTTTTTAGCCACACAAACAAACAAATGGCATCACAGCAAACGAATTGCATACAATATCATCTCCTATCTCATTTTTGCCATATTTGACAAACAGAAAAAATTGCTACATATACCTAAACAGGATTCAGTTAAACCTATAAAGCATAATTGTGATGAAACTGAAACAGCTCCACCCTCAAGCATTATCACCATGACAACAGTCCGTTACCTCATCATCATGGACCAGCTCTTTCTTCACCACCTTCATGGCGTAAATCTGTTCGTTCTTCTTGAGTCGGACCAGCAGCACCTTAGCATAACTGCCCCTCCCAATGACCCGGATCAGGTCAAAGTCCCCCAGACCGAGCCCCTGAGAGATCTGAATCCCCTCGATACCATCCACCACTGCCTTCAGATCCTGTGTGCACACAGTCGTTTCATGTTACATGTGTTCCTGACTTCCTGTATAAACTGTATGGATATGAAGAATGTGAATAAGAGCATTTGTACATGATTATTATTAAATGAGAACCTGTGGATCTTACCTCTGCGTCATCTTCAGCTTTCTCCACTTTCCGGTTGTGTGCTAAAAAAGAGACTGGAACAGAGAGACAGAGAAAGAGAGTTTTTATTATTCCTAATATATTTTATCTACAAATTAGAAGAGAGGATAGGAGAAAGTATTTTAACATTGAAAGTTGAAAATATTCACATTATTTCCCTTTAAGTGTAACAGCAGTTGTATTGGGATAAGTTAGTTTGATGTATCACCCAGAACAAATAATTATCAGCAATAATAATAATAATAATAAAATATTACATTTACATATTAGGATTAGAGAAATGAATTTGTCCATTTAGATGGTTGCTAAATGGTTGTTATTATTATTATTATAATTAAGAGAGGACAGGAGAAAGTATAAATAACATTGAAAAAAACATTCTTCCACAACAGTAAAAAAAAGAATAATTATTAATTAGTTTGATGCATCACTCAGAAATATTCCCGGAAGTCATTTTTACACAATGTACATTGTTTTGAAATGTCACCTACCACACAGGTTAACCCTCAAACTAAGTTCAAATGCTTTGAAATCAGTTCAATTAAATCATTACAAATAATCAATTCAAAAGAACAATTTGCTTCCACAAATCACTAAAGTGTGTTGAGTTCAGTCTTAGAATGTTTCAGCTAGTTGTGTAGTAGTGTGTCCCCAGCTTAAAGTGCCCCTATTAGGGATTTTTTTAAATTACCTTTCATGCAGTGTGTAACACAGCTCTAAGTGAATGAAAACATCCTGAAAAGTTTTAAATCTGAAAGTGCACCGTGTATAAAGAAAGAGAAGTCTCTCAAAAGAAAGAGTCGACTCTGAATCATTGAAACTAGTCCTTTTTAAAACTAATCTCAAGCCGTTTCATGTTGACATCAACATGAAACATTAGCATATTGCCCGCTCACTTGTTGGTCGTTGGTCTGAATGAAAATGAAAATTTTTTGCCACTAGATACCGCTTTTGTATGATATAGAAATGAAAATGAGACCATTAGCATCATGAAAAGGAGGGGTTGGAAAAATTCATCGTTGAGCGAATCGTTTGGGAGTTGTTGAGCAAGTAAGGTAAAAATAAATGCATATTATAAGACAATTAAAGTGTTTTTTGACCTTGCATGCATGTCAACCTGTTGTTGGGGACTCCCAAAACCAAACTATGAACCTTTCATTACCCATAATAGGTGCACTTTAAGAGAAATGTGTAATGCTATCAGACCCCAGCAGAGGGAGCCACAGACTGGACTGTCTCAGAAGGATGAGCATGTCTTTCTCTCTCAACTGGGTCAATGTTACATTACTCACACCTGATGTACTACAGTATCCTTCCACAGTCAGCAGTGCCCTCTGACAGATAGAGGACAGAATGACCCTAATACCCATACAAAAACAGCTTTTAAACACACACAGTGGAGATGGAGACCTACTTGCGTCTGTTTCCTCAGGGTCCTCAGGGGGGAGCTCCACTTCCTCTCCACTTTTATCATGGTCTACCAACGGCTCCTGTGATGGCATGACTGGATCCTGCAGAAAAACAGAGATGATACAGGCAAGCTATTGTTCAATGTGCTTTTTTCGCTCTCCTCTTTGGGGGTTCTAAATAAATATTTCACTTAGTTACCCAAACATGCCCAAATCAAAACTGACCCTATTTACCTTCTTAATAAAGGTCTCTTATGCAAGATCATTTTTCTAAAGAAAAATTGTTTATTTTCATAATCGTTCATCAAAATGTAATAAGTTTCACTACCTTTGAAATGACTTTTCTTATCTGTTGATGTGACTAACACCACAGGAAAAAAGTACATTAACCACAGATATCACAGTTTGCTTTCCACAATCCAATTAAATATCAGTGGATAAAATTATTACATTACTTCCCACTGAATACACTATTTCACAAAATGTCATATTTTGAAATGCTTCTGAAACTTTTCAAACTTTCTTGACCACACACAAAAAAATATTATTATAATAATCACATTATGAATATATTAAAATAATGAATTATTATAATATATAGTAATACACTAATATAATATATAGCTATATAATAATAATAATTAAAAATACATGCCCAAATCAAAACTGACCCTATTTACCTTCTTAATAAAGGTCTCTTATGCATGATAATTTTTCTAAAGAAAATTTGTTTATTTTCATAATCGTTCATCAAAATGTAATAAGTTTCACTACCTTTGAAATGACTTTTCTTATCTGTTGATGTAACTAACACCACAGGAAAAAAGTACATTAACCACAGATATCACAGTTTGCTTTCCACAATCCAATTAAATATCAGTGGATAAAATTATTACATTACTTCCCACTGAATACACTATTTCACAAAATGTCATATTTTGAAATGCTTCTGAAACTTTTCAAACTTTCTTGACCACACACAAAAAAATATTATTATAATAATCACATTATGAATATATTAAAATAATGAATTATTATAATATATAGTAATACAATAATATAATATATAGCTATATAATAATAATAATTAAAAATAACAATAATATTACTATTAACAGATTATTAATACATCAATATATACACTATAATATATACTATAATACTATAACATTTCTATATAATGTGTATAATGTGACTTATTAATTATAAAACAATGATAATAATAATTATTGAAAATAACAAAAAATAATTTAAAAAAATAACAAAATGTCATATTTGGAAATGCTTCTGAAACTTTTCAAACTTTCTTGACCACACAAAACAAATATTATAATAATAATCACATTATGAATATATTAAAATAATTAATTATAATAATATATATAACATAAAATAACAAAAATAATTATAAAAAAAATAACAAAATGTCATATTTTGAGATGCTTCAGAAACTTTATTTTACTTATTATACTAATCACATTATGAACATAACATAATTAATTATTATAATATATAGTTATAAATTAATATAATATATAGCTATATAACAATAATATTACTATTAACATATTATTAATATATCAATTTAATATAATAAAATATTGTTTCCAAGTCTAGTGCTAAAGACAATTTTTAAAAAAAGGTTATAAATAAAAAAACAAACAAACAAATCTAAGAAGAGTATTTCAGTATTATCTGGCCATAGTGGCACTACTAACACTATAATACTATATCATTTCTATATAATGTGTACAATGTGTGCCTCTCTGAAGATATGGGAGTCAGTTATAGCTAAGTATTCTTAGATATAAATATTCAAGACCATAAATGCATAACTACAAAATGAGGACAAACACTTGTGAGAAAGTGAGATAGACAAAAAGATCTACAATGAAAAGACGTAGCCAGCAGGAGAATGACAGAATTGCTTCACAAAATGAGGATAAAGTCAAAATGAATAAAGCTTATCAGCTTTGGAATCTGTTAGAAGAAAACCTGAGGTACTGTAGGAAATCTGAGGTCTGATGTCTTCTGTCATGTTAATAAACCAGAAGTGCATTGCTGAATATTGAATTTCTGACATATGAAACAACTGGAGAAACTATAGTGCACTGAGGATGTTTCAATGTGACAGTTTCCAGTCTGTGATTTCAACATTCTGTGTTAGCTCAGAATCAGGTCAATTCAGTACTGACAAGACACTGTTATCATCTGACAGATTTCACAAGGTCGATCTCTGAAACATTGTTAGAAACCCCAACAACACTCTTGAGAAGTGAGAAGAGAGGAAAACAGTCTTAACGGCTCAAAAACAAGAAGAAAACAAAAACAACGAGCTCATTTGAATGAAATGACAAATTATTTTCTAAGTTCAGTTTTTAAAAGCATATGCTTTCAAGTCTATGGGGTGACTTTGATTTCAGAATCTCAGTCACAACAGACAGATGATGAATATATTTCGAGCTGACTGAAAGACTCACCATATGCCTTTGACAGGTCAGTGGGACGAGCTTGTGACAGCGTTTATGGACCAGTAGCTTGCAGTTGATACACTTGTAGCCCTGACGCCCCAGTCCCCATATCCTCTCGCTGCAGTGGCCACAGTACGCTTTCTGAGAGACACAGACAGACATGATTACTGACGTTAGACTTATCTATGATCCATTTAGCAAAATGAAACACTTCAATGAATGAGTAAATCAACAAACTACGAAAGAAAAAAGGGATGTCCTACAGATATCACATGAGCAGATAGCACACATCAGCTGAGTAATGCATTCTGGATTCAAAACAAGCACAAAACTAGAAATGAAATCATGTAAATACGTAAAAAAAATGTAATTAATTTAAAAATGCACTACCGTTCAAAATTTGGGGGTTAGTAAGCGGGTTTTTTTATTAAAGAAATAAATACTTTAATTTAGGAAGTATGCATTAAATTGATCAAAAGTGACAGTAAAGACATTTATAATGTTTTAAAAGTATAAATGCTGTTTTTTTTATTTCTATTCATCAATGAATCCCGATAAAAGATGTATAATTGTTTTCACAAACATATAAAGTAGTACAACTATTTTAAACATTGATAACAATTAGAAATGTTTCATCAAATCAGCATATTATTATGATTTCTGAAGGATCGCGTGACACTGAAGACTGGAGGAATTGCTGCTGAAAATTCAGCTTTGCCATCAAAGGAATAAATTATATTAAAATAGAATATTTTACATGGTAAAAATATTTCATAATATTACCGTTTATACTGTATTTTTTGCTCAAATCAATGCAGACTTAAGCACAATAAGAAATGTAAATATTAACATCTCAGAGACACAAGAAAAATCATACCAACCTCAAACATTTGAACGGCAAATAAAATAAAATAAAATTTAAATAAATACAATTAAATAATAATTGTATAAATAAAATTAAATAAGCATTTAAAATGTAAGGAAAAAATAAATAAATATTAACCATTTTTGACAGGAACCCTGGCTTGATAAATATCATGCATCATACTTAATGTACTATTCTTACATTATATGTGTTGCTAAAATTCCAAGCTATCTGTGTAACGCTAACACACACTCAGCACCTGTACATACTTAAGGCCTAGCTAATGCTTTCAACAGATTTTGTTTAAAATCCAGGCACAGTCAGAGGACTCTGCTGACAGCGCTGTAACCAACATTAAGGTTTCGAACGCACACACACACACACCTGCTCTCACACACACACTCTGTGAGTCATAAATAAATGAAAATATCCTAAGCACAGTTCGTTGTGAGGTTCTCCATCTGTCCACAGTAAAAAAAAGCTACATGAATGCATGAAAGAAATATAGAAAATAATTCTGGTCAAAACTGTGGAATCATCAGCAAAATAAATACAGCAACATGGGCAAGACCGAGAGAGATGCAAAAAGATCACATTACAAACCAAGCAGAAGACTTCAGTCAAGTTGTCCACCAGGGGGCCCTCTAACAGCAGGACTTTGGTGCATCATGTAGCATAATCTTATTAAAATATGCTAATCTTTCATTATCAGACATGCACTTCCTCTAACAGTTTCCCCTCTCTGTCATAGCAGATAGCTGAGCATCATCTGTTTAACAGACCTTCAACAAACCCTCAGAGACGGACTCTTCTCACAAGATGCTCTTCTTGTCAGTGCTTGACGTTTCCTCCATGTTCCCTGACTCTATTTCACAGCTCTGTGAGCATGTCATGATCCCTGTGCTGCTGGTGAGTTTTTAGACAGCACTTGCTCACCATCTAAGGAGATGTTCACCTGCTGCAGTGATTTCTCCATATCTCTGAAGCCCCCAGCCCTGACGAATGGCCTACATTTTCTTGCCGCTTTCCATCAGGTGCTCAATTTATGTAACTGGGGTTAAACACTGAGAAATCAGGGCTCGAAAGTAGCACACATTATATCTAAAGCTTGAAGCTGGAAAATAAATAAACATGTTCCTTATGATTAGGAATGTGAAGAGTAAAGAATTGTAAATATTCTGGTTTCTTAATGGCTAAATTAATCATTATTTTAGCGTTTGAAAAGATAAATACTTAATCATAATCAGAAAAAGAAACAACAACATTTTTGTTGTTTACACAATTTAATAACTTTTCAGTGGCAACATAAATGTTATTTAATAACTAGAACTATATAGTCAACTATATATATATATATATATATATATATATATATATATATATATATATATATATATATACAAAAAAAAAAAAAGCTAAA